GCGCCAGCCAGGCAGGGAGGCCCCCACAGTCCCCACAGCCACACAGCCTCAGCTCCCCAGGGAGCAGCACTGCTCCCTAATTCTGTTTTAAATGCTGGTTTGTATTTGCTGGAGGATGAGGCTGGCACGGGCTGTTGTGAAGCGCTTGGAAGGCTGATCTTGGGCTTTTGTGACACTTCAGCTGCCATCCCAGTATGCAGTGAGTGCAGTGGGTGCCGTGGGTGCAATGGGTGCAGGGAGTGCAATGGGTGCAGAGCTCAACAGGCAGCAAGCCACTGCTGAAACCTGCCTGCCCTTGGCCAAAGCTACTCATTCCCTAATTCTCCACCCAGTCACATCGGAGTCGGAGCAGCTCCCACATCCTATTCAGGGCTGTTCCTCAAGCCCATATCACACCCTCTCCGTGCTGGTGCCAGCCCTGAGCATTCCCATCCATCCACCCAGCCCACACAGGGAATATTTCATTTTTACTGTGCTCGCAGCGCAGCTCTCCTGACCTGCATCGGCTGCTTTGGGAAATGGATTTCTCCCTGCCGTGAACATTGCCTCTGGTTAATTTAAACCCAGGTCAAGAGGATAGCAGCAGAGATGCTAGAGACCAGGTACAGGGCTGGGGAGAGGACCCCCAGAAACTGCCCCCAAGGCAAGAAGAGCGCATGCAGCTTCTTTCTGGGGCCTGGGGGTGTAGACCTCCCCAACGCCTGGAATCAGCCGCCGTTTGGGTCTTCTATGCAATGAAAGTGATGGCCTGAGGGGTCTCACCAAGCTCTGGGGATGGTCTTCAGCGCTGGAGGGGACATATCCCACCTGCTGGGGCATGGCCATCCCCTCCAGCACAGGCAACCATCCCTGCACCCTGCTGACAGCCTCCCCAGCTTCACAGTGGCACAGGTGAGGCTTTTCCAGGCAGATCTATTAACACGCCTTTAACGGCAGAGGAGTTCATTTTTACCATTTAACGTTTCACGGATAATTAATTATTCTTCATCTTCCCAGAAAAAAAAAAAAAGGAAGAGCAGGTAGAGGGGCTGTTCAAAGCAAAAAAAAAGCAAGCTGGAACCTGGGGAAATTGGTGAATTATTTGTAACATCAAAGGCAAGGGAGGATGTGCTGATTTAATGGGGCTCCGCACGCTGCAGAGCCCTGGGCGTTGCGGGGATGCTGAGATCAGCACACACTCGTTGCATTAGTGGTCCTGGGCAGCGGTGTGATGAGGGACCTGGGGGAAGCCCAGCCTTCATCTGTGCTCCCCCTCCTCATTCTCTCACCTCCCCATCGCTGTCGGCTGCTGGTTCTGCCTTTTCACGATGCCAGGGTGTGCCCGTGATCCAGCTGGGCACTGCAGTTGGGGGGGGTTGGAAATCACCCCTCCCTTGCCTGGCATGGGCCTCCCACGCTCCCCGATGCTTCATCCATCACCAGAGGCGAGCAGCAAAATAAATAATGATATTTAACATTTTGTAATAACGACAATTAACCAGTAAATAATGCCTTTTACACCACAAAAGCCAGAGTAAATTAATTCCCCTAATTAGCTGTCAGGCAGCGCGGGGCAGTGGCGCCAGTGGGCAAAACTGGCAACCCCTGCCTGCTTTATCCTCCTTTCGAGGCATCACTGAGCGTCTCCAAACCCCAAATCCCACCCCAAAATTTTGCAGGCTTGCAAAATCCCCCCAGCGCCAGTGGGGCGTGGGGCTCTGCGCCGCATCCCGGCTGCTCCGGGGAGCCCTAAATCACGCCTATCTCCTGCTAAAAAAATAACAGCGACAACAAAAGATGACAACAAAATTGTTTATGGCCATAATAAATTGTGCTGGAGGGAAAGAAAACCTGTTTGCCTCGAAGCGAGCCGGGGGTTTCCCATCGGCACACAAGTGGGAGTGTTCCTGAGCCCCACACCGCCCTGCAGCCGGAGCTGGCGCTGAGCAGTGGGCAGAGAAAGGGGCACGTACTGGAAACAATTTTATATCACATTGATCCCACCCATTCACTCTGATCTCAACAGCAGCGCCGTGGGGCTGGGGGCTGGTCCTGGTGGGTCCTGAGCCGTGCTGGGGCCAGGGCAAGGAGAGGGTGCCATGTATCCTGTGCCAAGTGCCACGAGTCACGTGTCAAGTAGGGATCAAAACACCCATCGGCAGCGGTGTGGGGGCGGCTGGGGAAGGAGGGGGCTGAACCCCCACGCTGCCGGCTCTGCCATCGCTGCCGGGCGAGCTGTCTTCCCCCGGGGCCGGGTGCTGGTGCTGGCTGGGGGATGGGGATGGTCCTGCCTGGCTAGCCCGGAGGGTTGGGAAGGATGTGGCCCCCATTGGACCTGCTGAGGCTGGAGGGCAGCCAAGGCTTTGCCATTTGCTCTGCTCAGCCGGACTCTGCCCCATCCCTCCCCTTGGCTTGGCTCCCAGCTGCCTGCGAGAACGGGGACAGGGGACAAGGACAGACATGGCTGCCACAAGCCAGCCCCACCAGGCCACCTACGATGCCATCGTCATCGGGGCTGGCATCCAGGGCTCCTTTGCTGCCTACCACCTGGCCCAGCGCCACAAGGACACCCTCCTGCTGGAGCAGGTACCAGTGTCCCCAGCCCTGGCATGTCCTCAGCCCTGCTGTGTCCCTGTCGTGCTGCCTCCCCAGCCCCAGCGCCCTGGGACAGGTGCCTGCAGACCTTTGTTCTCTCTGCCATGGCGTGGAGAGGGACTGCTGCTGGGAGCCCTAGCCCCAGTGCCAGCACCTTCATGTCCCCAGTGCCAGGATCACTGTTCCCCTAGTGCCAGGATCTCTGTGTCTCCAGTGCCAGGACCCCTGTGTCCTTAGTGCCAGTACTGCCATATCCCTGGTGCTGGGATCCCCATGACTCCAGCACCAGGAATCCCATGACCCCAGTGCCAGGACCCTGGTTTCCTGCCATTTCCCAGCTCCACGGTTGGCAGCGTGGGCTGTGTCCCCAGGTGCTCTCTGTGGCACAGCACCGGTGCAGGCAGGGCTGGAGGGGTCAGGGGGATGCTGGTGGCCGGTGTCACCCTCATATCCCCCTTGCCCTGCAGTTCCTCCTGCCCCACTCGCGGGGCAGCTCGCACGGGCAGAGCCGCATCACCCGCAGCGCCTACACCCAGGCCTTCTACGCCCGCATGATGCCCGACAGCTTCCGCCTCTGGCA